GATTTGATAATGAGATGAAAAAAAATGACAGAAATGATGAAGATGGAGGTATGGATCAGTTGAAATGGCAAAATGGAAGTAATGTATCTTTTTGTTTAAATCAATTTGGCATAAACATGCGGATATTCGGTATTATGTATTCCTTTACAATGCCAGGGAAATCTTCATTCTATTCGTTGTTGCTATATATGGTGTTCTATCTATCAGTCTGTCAGGCAAAAACATTGCAAATTCTTCCAAAGCAACTCCTCATATGTCTCGATAAGTAGCAAAAGGCATCACGAATTACAACAAGTAGGCTAAAAATAAATCTTTTAATTAAAAGTTATTTGATTGTTAAATGATAAATGCTCCATGATTTTCAATTATTGTAATAATCAATCAAAACGTTTGATTGAGCCACAGACAAACCTGAGTTCCCCGTTTTGATTGATTATTACAATAATTGAAAATCATGGAGCATTTATCATTTAACAAACAAATAACTTTTAATTAAAAGATTTATTTTTAGCCTACTTGTTGTAATTCGTGATGACTTTTGCTACTTATAGAGACATATGAGGAGTTGCCTTGAAAGAATTTGCAATGTTTTTGCCTGACAGACTGATAGACAAAACACCATATATAGCAACAACGAATAGAATGAAGATTTCCCTGGCATTGTAAAGGAATACAGAATACCGAATAGCCGCATGTTTATGCCAAATCGATTTAAACCAAAAGATACATTACTTCCATTTTGCCATTTCAACTGATCCATACCTCCATCTTCATTATTTTTGTCATTTTTTTTCATCTCATTATCAAATCAACTAAATTGTCCTGAAACTTAAAGCTTTTCTAACCATTATGAGTATAGAAACAAAAAAAGGGGAACTTTCGTCCCTTCATAAAAAAGAAGGCCCGCTAATTTTCCTTCTTTTTTCTGCTGGAGAGGAGTGGTGAGAGCTTGGCTGTGACGAACAAGTCATTTCTTCCCTTTTGTAGCTCAAGTATGCAGCATCCAGAACGCCAATTGCATTCTCCATTTCAGAGTACTCAATAGAAGAAGCTCCATTCTCTATATAGTCCTAGCCTCAAAAACAAACTTGGCCTCCCCCACCTATCAATCCAGCAAAAAAGTTCATAAGTCAGAAACAGAAAGTAAATCATGAGCTCGTAAATTGCTATATTTACTCCACTACCTGCAGATCAAGAAATAGAGGGACCGTCGCCGCCTCCATTTTGGCAGCCAAAGACAAGCAAGCTACTGCTAATAATTGAGCCATCCAGATTTTTCCTTTCTACAGGTAGAGATCATTGTAATGAGATATGGTTTGTAGAGCATATTGCATCGATTGAAGCAGCTTTTTCCAAATTTATAGACTGAAGGACTTACAGGGAGCTCATAGGATGACAGGAATCTATCCAGATAATTTACAGAAAGGTAAGCACTCAAAGGCCCAAAATTGTTATATGCATGAGCCTGTCAATAATATATGAAAACTCACTAATTACATCTACAGAGAAAATAAAAATTTTACCCGTATTCCATTACACGTACAGGAAAAGAAAATTAACAACGTACATAAAAACAGGCAAACTTCATTATTCCCGGAACAGAACAAGCTAAACCTATTCCCACGAAGCGAGCAATACTAAAAAAATGGTTTAGTATTTAGGTAGTTTGACTTAAGAGAATTAATAATATTCATGGGTTTTTCCGTTTTTATGGTTTAGTGAATTATCATATCAATTAGTTGTCAATAAGCCAACTAACATTCTAATTCATATTCATAAATGTAAGAATTTCCCCAAAAAAAAATTACCATGGGAGTTTATTTAGCTTTTTCAAGAATAAAATTAAGGTTGGGTGTTTACGTAGCTTATCCAAGAAGGAAGAAAGAATGATGATGTTGTAAGAGGAAGAAGGAGAAGATGTTATGGCTTATTTCATGTTATGGCTTATTTCCTCTCTTTCGCTTGGTTTCCACCAATGACCTTGATGAAGTTGTTGAAGTCAACAGCTCCTAGTCCTCATGTTTGCTCACATGTGGAGTACCCTAAGAGTTGAGGTTTATCATCACCTCTATTCCTGCTAAATCATCTCCCTCTCTCACCCGCCACTACCTCTCATATCTTCATTCTTTTAATGCTCAGAGATGCCCTAAATTTTTTGTTTTCAGTTTAAGGTCCATGTGGGACCACCATAGTGTTTTGTAAATGTGGTTGTGAAGTTGTTGTGAGAAAAATAATTTATTTTAAAGTTGTTATGGATATTATAAATATATTCTTTTTTTATAAAATTGAATAGTTGTTTTCTTAATGCTACCATCCATATATTAGCAACTGTGGTTGTAAAAAGCAGCTTATTATCACTGAAAATTTTCTAAAATGAAGCAAGAAAACAGTAGTCAAACGAGACAATAGTTGTGGCCTGAAAAGCAAAATAGTGTGAAAGCTATCCCAAACAAACCCTTAATAATTCCTGATGTTATAGGAAAAGAACAGGTCGGTCGTTTATGGTTAAACCAATATGGTCTGGTCCTTACATATAT